TCCATCCTTTTCCCTGTGGGGTTGACAGCCATGGAGATGCCCCATTCCTGCCCACTCCGCTCTGAACAACTCTCCTTATAAGAAAACAGAAAAGCAGCGGCTGCATGGGACGAGCGAGCTCAGGCTTGCGAGGGAGGCTCTGCAATCTGAGCAGCTTTTCTGCCACCGCACGAAAGCTGCTCGCTGGCCTTGCAGGCATCTTTTCACAGAGCGCGTGGTTGGGCTGAGCTGCTAAGAGACCTCCTTCGTGAGCAGCTGGTGGCATCGGCTGGAGCCAGCAAAGAGCTCCTGACCTGGTTTGAGGCGGCAGTGTTCAACCCCTCCCGCTGCCTAAGGCAAAAGGGCCCCAGGGCGCCTTGTGGGAGGACTGGTCCTCTTCACCACTTGGCCTACATCTCTGGGCGTGCACCAGAAACGCCATAATCCGCTCCGGCTCCTTTCCAAAGGGGGTGCTGGGCAGCCTCCTCCTGAGAAAAGTAAGCTGCGAGTTCTCATGCCTGTTCGAAAGGTCGAAGGCCAATAAGGGGGACTGCAAATTGGGATTCCCCCAGAGGACAGAGAAGGTGCAAAGGAAGGAGGCGAGATCCATCTTTCCGAGAGCTCACTCTTCCCAGCTTTAATTGAAAGACAACTTTCTTTTTGGGTGCCCCAAAAGAGGCTTGGAAATAGATGAGCAAGAGCTGGGGAAAGGTGCCAAACTAATTGATCGTGTGAATATACACCAGCTTTCAAGGTTGAATCCCATCCCATCCCCTTCTCTCCCTCCAAATCCAAGTGGCACGTATCACAGCCTTACGCCTCCCTTGAGAACCCGCTCACCTCGCTGTTACTGTCCACGCTCTCCTCTGAATCCCAGTCAGCCTCCTCTGAGCCAAATTCCCGTAACAGCTGCGGGATTTTTTGGTTAGGCCGGTGCTTGGCGCTGTACATGGGCGTGTAGCCAACATACATGCGGGCCTCTGGGTCAGCTCCGGCACGCAAGAGGAATTCCACCACTTCAGGGCTCTGAGACTCCACAGCCAGGTGAAGGGGACTCCGGCCACAACTGAGCTCCTGCAGAGGAGGAGGGGGACAGAGAGGCACAGCAACACCGCCTGAGCCCAGCGCTCTGGGTCAACGGACCAGATCTGCTCCGAGACTGCCAGCCCTTCAGGTAGGCCAGATCAAGAAACAGGCATGGCAGGGAGTCCAGGAACGCTCCTTCATTGTTGTGGGATAGAATAACAGAATCTCGAAAGCCTGTCCCTCTCGGCCTCCTTCTACACTGAACAAAATCCAGGCAGGATTGCTTTGATTTTATTTCTCACCCTTCCTTCTACCCCTGGACTTCATCTCCTGTCCCAGTCCCTCCTTCATGGCTCCAGGTGGCCCCTACCTCCCCAAAGGTCACACTACATCTCTTCACAAAGACAGAGCTTCAGCAGAGCTACTGCTTGCCATATGCTCTCCCGGTGTAAACTGGAATCCACGCACGCACACATGCTCAGCTTGCAGATGGGTTGGGTTTGCTCAATCTGCCGCTCTCGTGAAAATGGGGCGGGAGCATTTGTGGTTCAGTTGTGGGAAGAACCCAGACCTCGTTTAGCCTGTGGAATAGACCGGGCTATAGCGTTACTCCGGCATGCTGTTTATGTCACATAAAGACAACAACTGCGTGTTGACAGCTCGGGGTTAAGGTGTTAACGTGAATCCAGCCTGGGTGCTCCGGTTACAAAAAGTGGGAAAGGTTCAGCGATGAATGAGTGCTTTCAGATCTCAGCTCCTCAAACACAGCTGCCTGTGCACTCAAATGCGTTTCAAGCTTGCATCGCCGAGGAATATTTTTGCAACAAAAAAGGAACAGATGAGGAACAGGGTGGCTCCCTCCCTCTGCAAGAGACCATGCTAGCAGTGTTGGCCGGTCCTGATCCTTCCCTTTCTACTCCCCCCACCACAATCAGCCACGCACTCAAGCTGCACGCCTCTCCATCCGACTCCCATTCACGTCAGCTTCCATCAGTCAAAAACAGACTTATGCTCAATAGTAGTTTTTTACCCCATCGCTCTCCCACCTTTCTACTTGAATTTACAACCTTTTTCATCATCATATCGAGGCTCATTTCTTGTGCAATCAAAATGAAATTGACATACGTCAGTGTTTCTCAACCTTAGCAGCTTGAAGATGTGTGGACTTCAACTCCCAGAATTCCCCAGCCAGAATTCTG